AAAAGAAGTAAAGTGTTTTATTTTGCTCCCAAGAACACAAATAATTTTTACTCTCTGGGAAAAACTGAAGCCTGCTACAAAGACCGTATCCTTACGAAATTCCTGTGGACTTCTCTGCTTCTGGATTGCTGAACTGGACCCACTGTGATTACACTGGGAACATTTCTCACTGGGGAACTGTTCAGCAAAAGCTRGTTTATAGATAACAATTTCACTCCTCCTTTGCCTGTATCTGTTTAAAATCTGCTACAGCCCCTCGTACATGTGTRAAGGTGCTTGTGGGGTATAGCTTATTTCCACCCGCAGCAGCAGCTGTGTTCATCTTGGAGCCCTTGTAGCAATATTTGTGTCCGTATTATTTCATCCTGCCACCCCTCACAGCTGTGCCTGTGCACCAGGGGGCTGTACTTGAACAGCATCCATTTCTAAATGACTATACTTACGGCTCTGTGAAAACGGGGCGTGGACCAGCTCAAAGTTTTAAAAAATAGGGATTGTTATAAAAGGGACACCCGCACTGAGCAGCAAAATGACTCCTTTTATTGGCCTATTCTTTTAATTGGCTTTCATTTGGGATAAGCCGTGATCGCAGGCAGAGTGGCCTGCTCGTGGACAAGGTGTTAACAGAGCTGTCCCTGGGATGGATCAGTGCCGGGYGCTGTTTTCACTTTCCACTGTAGTGGATATTCCTTTTTCAAAAAAGAAAAAAAAGGTTTAGGTCCTCTTTCAGTGAGTCCTAGTTCTATCACGGGTGTGGTTTTAGGGATCAGAAAAAGCGGATATCAGGATTTTTAAGGGCCAGGGGGCAGGGCTGAAAGATTTTGTTTCATGCGGGTTTTGTTGTTGTCATTCTTTTATCACAGTCCGAGGCACAAGGCAGGATTTGAAAACAGGTGAGTCACGGGGCTGGGAATTTGGGAGCGGGGCTGTCTGAGGGTTTTGCCCTCCCCGCAGCTCCTGGGCTGTCAGATCTCCGTGTCTGTAGCCTTTAAAGGTTTGTAGGAGCGTGGCCAGGAAGGGAAGATGGGCAGASTGCCCCCCTGGCCCCCCGGCTCGCACCCCAGCGCCCGGCACGCCTGGTCAGACGGCAGACAATGCGCGGTGCCTGCCACCAGCCCGGCACCAGGCGGTGACAGCCGCGCTGCCCGTCAGCGCCCCGAGATGTTTGAAGAGCCGTAAAAGGCAGCGCCGGCTGCCGGGGGCTCCGCACGGGTGTCGCCCCCAGGTGCGGGCCCCCAGAGGGTGGGATGGGGAGGCTCCTCGGGGCCGGTCCCGTCCCGCCCCCCGCCCGCAGCGCTCGCCTCGCCGGGATCGGCGCTGGCCCCGGGGAGGGGCGCAGTCCTGCCGCCCCCCCGAYCCACCCCCGCTCCTCTGCTGGCAGGACACGGGAGCACTCTCAGGCACAGGAGTAGTTGGAATAACCGATCCACCTGCAATGGGGTGATTTTCCTTTTTTAAGGCGTTTTGTTGTTTTGTTGGTTTTCTTTTATTTTTTTTTAAGGGGAGGCGGAGGGGACGGGGGGGGCGGCGGGGGGTTTGGCTGGCAGGACACTGCCTTGCCTCTCTGTTATTAAAACAAAAGCCAAATAAAGTGGAAAAGAGGGAGAGCTTTTTCCTTTCTTTTGTTTGTTTGCTTCCTTGTTTGTTTTTTTTTTTTTTTTTTTTTTTAGAAAAAAACCAGAAATAAAAGAAATAAAAAAACAAATCCCGGTCACTAAAGCAGCCGAGGAAGGCTGAAATTCTAAAACTAACAACCTCCTTCCTCAGCGGGTACCCCTTCCGTCGGCAGCCACACGTGTTACCTGCGCTCCCGGGGGACGGGCGGCCGGGGGGGTCCCGTTCCCAGCCCGCCCCCCCTTTTCCAGCTCCCCGGGGCCGCCGCCGCCTCCGCCGCGGGGAGCAGCCGGCGGCGCCGTGAACAATGGCCGAGCCCCTCGGGGCCGGGGGCTGCGGGGGCTGCGGACACCCCCGGAGCGAGGGGGAAGAGCCGAGCTGCAGGAGGGGAGCGGGGGTTCAGGCCAGGTAACTCGCAGGCTGCTCCGAGCTCGCCGCTCGCCTGCTGGTGTTTCTCCGAGCTTCATCCCCGCGCGGCTTGCACGGGAAGCGGGAGAACGGGAGGAAAGGG